AAGTGGTTTTACTTGTTCGTCCCAGTCGGTTCCATCTAACCATAATTCTTGTATTAGAATTTTGGCTTGTATCATAACTGGCGAAAGCCATCCTGCGGGGTCGAAAAGTTTCGCCACAGAGGATAGAATTTGCCGCTTTGTTATGGCGGATAATGCAGATATTGACTCTGTAGTGTATGAAAACTGGTCAGATATCGCATTCCATTTGATCCCCAGAGTTTTTGTTGTACTTTCCTTTTCGAATTTAAGGAAATTAGTATCTAACAAATTTTCATGTGGTATATTTTTTAGAATATTAGGGTGGTTCGCCGTTATCTTTTTCAACGGAAACCCTGCGGTATTTAGGGCTTGTATCACTTGTGATAGTGACTCGTATGCTTGTGGAAGACTGTGACTTCCAGACAAGATATCGTCTACATACGTTTGTGTTTTTAACACCTGGGTTGCCAGAGGAAATTTTGACTTGGTGTTTTCTGCCAATTCGTGCAGTGTTCGAATGGCTAGATATGGAGCACAGTTGACGCCAAAGGTAACTCTTTTTAATTTATAGTCGCGGAGTGGACTATTGGGAGATTTTCGGAAAATAATTCGCTGAAAATCTTGATCGTCTTTATGTACGGCTATTTGTCTATACATTTTTTCGACGTCTCCGTTAAATACGTATTTGAATATACGCCAATTTAAAATGAGTAGCATTAAATCTAGTTGGAGCGTGGGTTCCGTAAATAGGATATCATTTAGGGAATTCCCCGCGCTGGTGGATCTTGATGCATTAAAGACAACTCTTACTTTAGTTGTTTTTTTGTCTGGCTTTACTACTGCGTGATGAGGCAAGTAAAATGAGTAATATTTGCCATTTATGATTTTTTCGCATGGGCTTACTTCCTCCATGTGGTCTAAATGGAGGTATTCTTCTAACACGCCATCGTATTCTGGCTTAAGCTCACCTTTTTTAAGTAAGTTTTTTTCCATACTTAAAAACTGCTGTATAGCAGAGGTGCGAGAGTGACCTAAGGCGATTGTGTTGGAAAATTGTTGTTTTAGTGGTAGTCGTACGACATACCGACCATTATCTGATCTAGTAGTTGTGGCTGTGTAAAAGTCTTCACAATACTGATCTTCAGGGGTTGTGATTGATATGGGAGGGGGCTCTTCTAACTCCCAAAATTTCTTTAATTGTGAATTGAGGTATTCGTTTGAGATTTCCTCAACCTGAGTGGTCATGGTGGTAACTGGTTCCGAAACTAGTCCACTTAGGATCCACCCAAAAATAGTATTTTGTGTGAAGTGTATTTGAAATTTTCTCAATACCTTCGAGTATTATCTGTGGTATGAGATCGCTGCCTAATAGAAGGTCTATTTGAGCGGGAGTGTTGCAGTTGGGATCTGCTAGCTTTAGGTGTGAAACCTTTTGCCAGTGCTTGCTATTTATGTGATAGCTTGGAAGCATATTTGTAAGTTGCGATAAGACTATAGCTTCTGCTTGTATGTGCTTATCCGCTTGGGGGCAAATTAGGGTAATGGGTCAGATTTTATTTAAGTTTTGGACTACTCTTCCGCCCATTCCCGTGATTTCAAAATTGGCTAGTTTTGTTGGCAGTATAGTCTATTTTGAGCCCTAGACGCTATGAATGATCGTTGTGATCCTTGGTCTATTAAGGCCCTAAGTTTAAACAGTTCTCCTCGGTGTTCGATGGAGACGACTGCTGTCGGTAGTAGTACCCTACTTTGGTTTTCGCTGTGTAGCGTTTGGGTTTTTAATGCCTTTGAGCAGCATGGTGCTTCTAATTTTCGGGATTTCGCACTTCGGGATTTGCTGCAACTAAACCCGTGGCTATTTTCATATTTGCGCTGTTTAGGGATGAGCTGGAAAATGTGCTTTAAATGAAGCATAGAATGATGTCGTTTATGACAATAAACGCAATTGAACTTGCTTTCGCAATCTTTGAGTGAATGCGAATGTGACATACAGTTTGTACACAGTCTTTTTGTTCTTTCATAATTGTTTCGATCGGTAATATTCATTTTTTTGAATTTCTCGCAAGCTTTGAGCTTATGCCCCCCTGTACACAGTTCGCATGATGTTTGTTTGTACTGTTCGGATGTGAACGTTTGATTTCTGAAGAAGCTTCTATTTAAATTGTTGTTGCTACTGGCTTGTGGCCTGTGGAAGCTTCTATTTAGGTCGTGTTGAACAGTTTTCGTTCTGACCATTTTTTTATCTACCCTTTCTGCGATTTCGTACTGGGTAGTTAGGAAGTCTTTCATTTGTTGCCACGTGGGGCATTTTCTTCGTGATGAGAGCGATTGCTCCCATAGAAGTAATTTTTTTAAATTTTTTTCTCGAAATTAACCGTACGGTAAAACAGTTTGGCCGTAACCGCTATATTTAAATATAACCCGATTTTATTACTTTCAACATACCTATATGCCAATAAATTATAAATAAGTAAAAGGAATCGATACGACTCACTTTGTACCGCCTCAAGGGTATTTGGGGGTTTTAGATGTGTGTATATGTGTGCCAATGCAGAAAAGTCCGCTCCTCCTCTCCACTGTCCGAGCTTGCTGTTGTTGTCCTTTGTCCCGTAGGTATGTTCCTTAGTGTGTTGTATAAGATTTTTGTGTTTTATTTTTTATTTCGCGCCCGGTTACTATATAATTATGTTGGTATGTATAAATATTTTGTGTAGTAATCGCGCCCGTTTTTTATATGTTTTATGTTTGTTCACAGACAGTATGTAAAAAGGTTTTTTGCACTTTTTTATGTATTTTATTATATATTTATTTTTTTTTTGTGTATTCTATTTTCCGCAAATTTTGTATATATGTATTTATTTTTTCGGCACTGTATATGTATATATATGTATATTATTGTCTTCGGTACCTTGTTTTTTTTTTATATATAATATGTATATTCACTTGTACACTTTTTTTTTGTTGTTTATGTATATGTAATGCATATACAAGTATTAGATCTCCGCACTTTTGTTCTTTATTTTATTAAATTTTTTATTTTATTTTTTTTTTTTTTTCTAATAGTGCCTTTCCGTAAGGCTCGAAGTACCAATGTTTAAAACTATGTCACAATGATATCACTCACCAACGACTTGTACTTATCTTCTTGTTTTATTAAACACACGTTTTTGAAATTTTCAATTTAAATTTAATTTTTATTTTTTTTTTTTACTTTTTTTAAGTTCACAACTTTTTCCTAAGAACTAGTATGGGTGCGATTTTAAAATCAACCGGTAGCGGAGATGGCGATGTTACGATGATGTAGCGAAAAAAAGATGCTTGTGGTCGCTCGTCGTCCCCTTTTTAACTCCTTCGGTGTGGTGTGTAGTGTGTCTTCATGTGTGGGGTGATCGTGGTGGTAGGGTTGGTGTGGAATGTGTGTGGGATGATATGTTGAATTACTTATTTAACCAATAGTTATAAAACGACGCAAGAAATCGGTTTTATTTTGCTTAAAATGCTCCAAATTATGCTGAAATTGTTTTTATATGAATTACTTTTCTCCATGTAAAATATGAAGTACTCATTCACAAACAATATTGTGAACTTGCTCAATGATTTCTGGTGTGGGTGCGGTTTTTGTCGTCCTTCGCGTGGATCGTCTTCAAGCCTAGTAGTGTTCATAAATTTCTTTTGCTTTTAAATCTTTCAAAACCAAGAATCTAATCACTGCGCGATATTCAATTTTTCCCATATTAAAAAAATATTCCGACACGTTAACTTCAAATGACTTGTAAAGAAAGAATCAATTAACAAAATGACTTGTAATTTTGGTCCGATTACGCCCATCTGCGAACTCTTGCTCCCTTTTTTACCAGGGAAAACGTGTATCAAGTTTCGAAACGATATCTAAATCTTTTCTCAAATTATCGCTTGAACGGACGTACGGGCGGGCAGACAGACAGTCACTCGGAATTCAACTCGTCTCGTCACCCTGATCATTTATATATGGTATATATTTAACTCTATATCTATCTCGATTAGTTTTTTGTGATACAAATAACTGTTAGGTGAACAAAACTATTATACTCTGTATCAACATATTTCAAGAGTATAAAATTCATCAATACTTCAGAACCTAGTCAAAAAGCACTTATATACTTGTAGAAAAAGTAATGTTGAGATCTGTATTATAGTACTTAGAGGTTTTTTTTTTGACATGAACACGCCAGGAAATTATGAGTCTCCATGTATGTTTCGGCCATTAAAAAGTTTCTCCATTAGACGTTCAGAGTCGGATTTGATGCTGGACATTGTTCTAAGTAAACGCTATATTGTGCATTGAAAGAGGTGAATATTTAGATAAGAAGACAAGGAATAACGCCTATTACTCAATGTTATAAAATTAGAGTATACATTTAATAGGTGTATCATTCCGCATATCGAGTTTCTTTTCATTACGTATTTCCTTACTTTGGATACAAAAAGGTTCCTTGAGATTTTTACGCGCGTTATCCGTACCACATGCAAAGTAGAGAGTATTAATAGACAAGTTGAAATATAATATAATTATTATTATGTTTATATTGCAACCCAGTTCCTTATTGTCTATAAAATTGTACTCGTATATAATAATAGAAAGAGTGAAGTGGTACTTTTTCATCAATTAGCTACTTAATTTAGCCCTGCATACTCGTATACGAAATATGGATAACTCTAGTTGCATTATTAAAAGTTGTATCTACGAAACATAGTTCCTTCAATAATAAGTTCGAAAACTCTACAAATTGTAGCTGGCAATCACTTTCAAACATAATTACACTACTTTCTTGCAGTTAACACCTATCAAGTAAATTATTTAATATATTGTTGTCCTCTTTACTAACACAAATATTCGTTTGATTGAAGGGTCTTGGAAAATATTATCTTAAATGACTTTATTATCTACGTGCGAAAAGCTCGTGAATACATGGATGAGTGCACTTAAATAAATATTATAAATGAATACTTACATATGATAGTATAGTTCGAGCGATAAACTTCACATTATTCATTTGCAATGGATTCTTCGTTGAGAGTACAATACCTGAGAGCAAAACATGCCACCTTGAAGCGTTATGATATAAATAGAAAAGTTATCCAAAAAAGAAAGCTGAAAAAAATCAAATATATTTTGTTCGACAATTTTAAAGAATACTGTGAGAATACATCGATACATGGGTTAAAATATATAGTGAATAAAAGTTTATACCCTCTTGAACGGTATGTAGTATGTATATGTTTCTTATAGAGTATAATATAGGTAACAACGAAATATTTATGCATGTTAAATCTGTGTTTTTAACAGCTTTCTGTGTTTGTTATGTAGTGTTTGTGCTAATTTTAAACAAACCAAGAATGCAAAACAAAACTCTTGTCATTTTTCGTGCTGCATGTAATCACCAATTCGAAACACTGATTACTTGATATTTCCGAGCAAGGAAAACATAATCTTACATTTAAAATTAGCCTAATCTTGCATTAAAAAGGTAGCACTGCTCACAGATTTTTTATATGTGCTTTTCCATTGCCTAAGTTAACATACACTCAAATTGTTTAGCGAAATCTTTCTTTAGAACAAAGCTATCTTTTCACCATATATTTGAACAGACAAAATTTTTTGTAAGTGTTATACGGTAATTTCACTGAGAGTGAACTCCATTCATACACTGTTGTAAATGGTATTGTAGGCGAAAGAAATTTTTCATGGAATTTCTTGACATTCTCTTATCGTTCCTCGACATTGGTTCTAAGACGCGAGTTCATTGATAGTAGACTGAGTCAGTGCGTAAAATATGAAACAGCCTCAATAGTTATAATCAAAATTGTTTGATGCATACATACATAAATCACAAAACTTTGGCTACTCATTAGATAATTCTTCGATCGTTATGTGCAGGTTGTTCTTCGCCATATCATTCATATGCGTTGTCTATGGAGCAGCAGTTTTCGTTGGCAAAATTTATGAAAAATGGAACTATAGCCCTATGCTCGTGAGTATCAATCCGAAGTATACGAAAATTACAGATGATCCTTTTCCGGCCGTTACCATTTGCAATCTTAATCAAGCGTATAAAGCAAAGGTTCAGCAATTTTCAATGTAAGCTTCAACATACATGCATACGAGAACCCTTTTATTGAATGCAATATATTCTTGTTATTTCAGCGATTCGTCCGAATACACCAAAATACAAATGCTCTGCAAGGGTGATGTTAATATTACTATATCTAATGCCATTACGGATTGGAATAATTTAACATATTTTATTCATGAAGTGAGTAACAAAATAAATGTTATTGTATATAGACCCCGGTTACCGAATTACTATGTTGAGTATACTTTTCAAAATATTCGTTTAAGTAAAGAATAAATAGGTTGACAAAGGTACTAATAGATCGGGAGAATCGCCTAATTAGAAAGTAAGAACATTATTTTCCAATTCATTGAATTAGACAGGTCTTATTAACGGAGTCGATTCGCCTTATGGTCGCTTGGTAGTCTACAAAATACACCAGATGTAAGTCAACCAGTTTGAATTAACACTTTGTGTGTAGAGTGCATCAAATTTTGACCCATCCATGAGCACAGAGTTGATTGTAATAAGTTTTATTTATCCTGCCAGTGACCTCGTTTTTTCAGTCGCATTGCCATTCTAACCCGAGTTCTGAGGCAAGATCTGGTGTTGGAGTAATAAGCCACATGTTTATAGTGGATTTAAGAATGATAAATATGAAAAACATGTATTCTAAATGTTTTAGAATTGGTGACAATCATAGGGATATTATGTGCTTTGGATGCAATATTTTTCCTTACATTATCTCGTTAAGGTTTTTTATTGACTAGTAAAGTAAATGACATATATATTTGTTATATATTACGTATACTCGTACATATTTAGATCTCACAGCCCTGCAGTAATATGTTACTGAAATGTAAATACGCTGGAATAATTTTTAACTGTACAGAGATTTTCCGGCCCCTTATTACCGACAATGGACTATGTTGCACTTTCAATATGATAGATCCGATGTTTATGTTCCGGAAGTAAGTAAATGGCTTTGAATATAATATATATTTAAAAGATAATTCATTAAAAAAAAATAATTCAGTTTTAACAGCAAATCGTTTGCTAATGTGAATTACCACTATCCCGAAGGATACGTGCCCGTTCACTGGAGTTCAGAGGCAGGTTATCCCAACGATTTACCCGAAAAATTCATACCAATGAAAAGTGTAGGCACAGGCGAGAGTGTAGGTCTCGGCCTTATACTAGATGCTGAAAGCGAGGAATATTACTGTTCATCATCAGATAGCATTGGTTTTAAAATCTTACTACACAATCCGCTCGAAGTCCCGAACATGCACGAAATTGGTCTTTTACTTTCGCCTGGACTAGAGACGAAAATTCGCATACAACCCGAAAAAGTTGAATCTGAAACGTACCTACGTTTCATCAGCAAAAATGCACGAAAATGCTTATTCGAAAACGAAGAGCGTTTGGAAATGTATACTGAGTATACACAACGCAACTGTGGTATCGAATGTAGTGCTGCCGTAATATTGGAAAATTGTGGCTGTCTGCCACATTACGTACCAAAGTTTTTTGGCAATGAAACCACATGTAGCATGAGTATGTACAATTGTGTTGAAAGTACTCGATTAGAAACAATGCTAATAGACAACACGAGAAGGGATTGCTCCGATGTCTGCATGCCATCTTGCAACGATCTCTCCTATATGCCAACATTTTTCTCTGCGCCCTTAATTCATTCGGGCTTTCAAAATGACAAATTCGCAAAAAATATTAGCAATACTTATTTGGAGAAAAATATTGCTGTGGTGAATATTTACTTTAAAGACACTATCTACAGGAGCCAGAAAAACTCCGATTTGATTGGGATAACAGATTTTTTATGTAGGGCTCTTTATGATATTTAATTAACTATATACTTGTATTTATTGTCTATATTTAATTTTTCAGCCAACATCGGCGGCATAATTAGCCTCTTCTTTGGCTTCAGCTTTATCTCCTTAGCTGAGCTGATATTTTTCGCGTTTTTAAGACCGCTTCGAGTTATTTTTAATAAACTGAGATGGAGAATTACCAAGTCGACAAAATTACAGAAGCCGACGTCAATCCAACTCTTATTAAAAAAAAAATCGAAATATTTATGTGGTAATTTGGAGCAAATTCCTTCTGTTACTCAAAGCACCATTCGAAAGGGCAACGCTTGGCAGGTGGTGTTGGGAAAAAAACGTCTGTTGGGGTGCGGACCAAAAACTTCAGAGCCATGGCAACCAGGAATGGAGTATATACCGTAGATGTTGAATTTATTATTTAGAACATATATATATATATATATATACATATAAATTACGTGTCACACTTTTCCCGGGCAAACTGCTAAACTAGTGAACCGATTTTAGTAAAATTTAACACACTGTGTCCAGTTTGTCCCAACTTAAAATATAGGATAGTTTATATCTCAATCAGTTTAAAAGTCAAAACATTTCAAAACTAAAAAATTATAATTGTAAATATAAACATGTGTTCAAACAAACAAAAAAGAATATGTCTTGGTTTTGAACTTTGATAAAAAAATTGCTATTATTTTTGCGTTTGTTTTTAATTGTATTTATTATTATTAATATTTTATTAATACACTAATTTATTATTTATTTTATAAATATTAGATTCTTTACTTATTTTTTTATTTGATCTTCATTTAATCTTCTTTGTTGTTTATTATGTCGTGTGTCTTCGCCAACTGTAACATTATCATCAGATCGCTACGTTTCATGCTGGTTTTGTTATGGGCTTGCCCATATTAAATGTGCTGGACTGACAGGTAGAATCTTAGATTCTATTATCACCGAAAATTTAGGCACTACGGAAAATTGTTCTCACGAATCCTCCAAAACTGCTCCTAAGCGTAAACGTCCGATAAAGTAACACTTAGTTTTTCTGAAGAAGAGTACGTCTGGTTCAAATGACCTAATAAATCTCTCTTCTCCTTGCCCTCAAGGTGATAAGCCGTCAACTTCCAAAGAGCTTAATTCCCCAAAAGCTCTATCTAATAGTAATAAGTGTCCCACAATTCCAGAGGCTCCCTTGGTAGTTGTTTCACCTAAAAAGTCTATATATATTTCTAGACTTGCCAAAGATACCTTGGTGGAGGACATTAAGTCTTACATTTTGTCGCGTTTAAAAATTTAGGATAACAATATCCGTAAATTTAACTTCAATTATGATGAAGTATATCATCGTTTAAAATAGACGTTTCTCTTGAAACATTCAAAAATATCTTAGATAGCTCATTCTGGCCACCTGGGGCTTTTGTTCGCGAATTTAAGCCTAAACTTAGAAATCATACTAAGGAAAACATTGATAAATTACTAAAAACAACCACCGATGTAAAAAACTGATTGGTAGAAATTCAAAATTAACCGACTTGTACTTAAACAGAAACATGGCTAAAACCTCACATTTTTGATAATGAGATTTTAAACAGCGAATTTCAAATATTTAGATGTGATCGACCGAACAGAATCGGAGAATCTCTATCCCACCGAGTCATTTGAATTTAAATGTATTAGATTCTACGTTAATAGTTGCTTTATTTATTTAACTTTATCTTATATACGACCCCATTCGAACTTAAATGTATATATGCAGCATGCTTCTTTAATAAACAGTGCTACCTCGATGCAAATAATGCAGATTCAATAATCGTTTTAGGAGATCTCAATTTACCGTGTGCTTCGTGGAAAGCTTTCGTCTGAACCAAATAAATTTGTATCTGATTAAATGTGGTAAGTGCTTAGGTTTAGTATACGTTTATACCTCTTCAAAGCGTTCCGTTATTCAGAGTAGTCCTCTTGTTCTACCAGAGGACTCGTATGATCCTGCTTTGGAAATATCTGTCGAAATCATAGGCAATAAACGGAAAAGTAATCATCAAACTTCTAGCTTCTGCACTCGGTTTAACTTTGCAAAAGCTAATTTTAAAAAGTTAAATAGAGAACTTTCTACAATAACATGGCCTAATTATAATGGTGATATTGAATTGTGTGTCGCATTTTAATAATATTATTACGAAATGTTCCAATAGTAATTGTTAATAAAAGCAAAAGTATAAGTCCGTGGTTTTCGAAAAAGTTATATAAATTGAAAAACAGAAAAATTCGAGCCACGTACTGTGTCCGAATACTTTAATTAACGCTCCAATTATTTCTGATGAAGACGTCCTACTTAATTTAAATAAGTTAAAACGATATTTTAGTTACGGCCCAGACAAGATACCCTCATGCTTCCTAACAAATAGTGCCAAATATATTTACTTGCCTTTGACAAGGATATTTAATTCCTCTCTAAAACACGGTATATTTCCAATGGAAACAGTCATTTATAGTTCCTTTGCATAAAAGTGGATTTAGGTCCAACATTGAAAACTATATAGGTATCGCAAAACTATCAGTTATACTTAAACTTTTTGAAGCTATCATCACACACCTTATAACCTTTTCGATTTCTCCGTTAATTTCCTCATCTCAGCATGGATTTCGTAAAGGGAAATTGACTCCAACAAACTTGCTTGAATTTGTAAACCATTGGGTTTGTATCATTGGGTTTTAGGGAACATAAGCATACGGATGTCATATAGACAGGCTTTAGCAAAGCTTTCGATAAAGTAAATCTTTCGATTCTCATACATAAACTTGATCTGCTGGGCTTTCAGCCAAATAATAAAACATAACGAGTGATATTTGAGGATACTCTTTCCGAAACAATTAATGCCTCTTCAGGTGTTCTGTAAAGTAGTCATCTTGGCCCGATTCTGTTCTTGTTGTTTATTAACGATATCTCTACAGTAATAGAATTCTCAAACATTTTATTATACTCTGACGACGTAAAGCTTTTTATATCATACATTTCAATTGAGGAAAGGTGTCGCAAACAGCCATAAACAATTTGGTTGCATGGTGTGATAGAAATGATTTTCCATTAAATCTCAATAAATGTAAGACGATGCGCTTTTCCCGTAGATCTGTGCACCCCTCTCCTTATGTAATACAAGCACAACACCATAGTCTAGAGCAAGTTTTTTACTACAAGTATGTTGATTTGGGAGTTAATATGGATCCTAAGCTTAATTTTAGTCTTCATATTGATACCATGTCTTGAAAGCAAAAGCTGTCCTCAGTTTTGTTAAACGTTGGTCTAAAGAATTTAGAGATCCGTATATTACTAAAACACTTTTTACAACTTTGGTTAGACCTATATTGGAATATGGCTCTGTTGTATGGAACCCTAGCTACCGAATCCATTTTGGATTTTTACATTCGGATGTTTACCTATATATACGGTAAGAGGTCAATCATAAGGTCAGACATACACTCTCGATTATATAGTCTAGAAAAATGTTGGAAACGATTTCATCAAATGTGCTGCAACTCTGATCTAAATGTTTGGCCACGCACAATACTTTACTTGTCCCTAGATAGCGAATATGAGTTCATGATATTTTCGACTTACTTTATAAAGAATATATCCGTAAATTTGCGAGAAATCTTTAGGAAATTAAGTTATTGCGGTATTTTCGATTAACTTTAGTTATTTGGTAAAAGAGCATTTTTCTTTAAATTCAGTCAGAATAATATATAAAAATCTTGTTATAACTGAGTGAAGAGGGATATCCGAGTCTTCTATTGCATATAATTAGATACTAAATATATATTTAGAGGGTTGTAATGGATAAGTAAAGTTTTTACTTAACTTTCAGATTGCAATATTTGATTTGATTAGAAATGTTTGTAAATGTTACTTGCGCCTAAATTGTGTGGTACAACCAGTATTTACGAAAGTAATTTGTGAACTGTAACTAATTTCAACTAATAAACACTTAACATACCATCGATAAAAGACAAATTTTCTGAAGTTTATATCGATTGCTCAGTGCACAAATATGGCTGGGAGGAATAGGACGTTCTCTGTTGAGGCATATAGACAAAGTGTGCGAAATTTTAAATCTGTTATTAGACAAAATTTAAACGAGTTTTTGAAAAACTCAACTATACATGGATTACGCTATACTAACCAACGAGATTTAAGTATATTTCAGAGGTAAGCAAATTCATTCATAACATTATCTAAGCTATTTTATATTCGTTGTTGTATTGACTTCATCTATATATGTATATGCACACCTGTTTATAATCCAAAAAATTAAGTTTCGTGGAGACATACCATTGCTTAATAGTCAGATAGATTTACTTAAGAAAACACGTAAGGAAGGTGTAAGTTTGGGTGTTACCGAACATTTTATACTCTCGCTAGGTAAAGTGATATACGGGATATTTCGTATATATTTTAATTAAAAGTAGGAAGTATTAGTTATTATTAAAAAGAGATTCTTTCGGAATTTCATTAGGATTACATATTGACCGATAGATGCGGTATAAAATGAACCGGAGGTTCGAAAATATTTATGTAGGTATATGGGGGCTAAAGGAAGTATTGACCAGATTTTATGCACTTTTAGACTTTTGACATTTAGGACACTATTTTGAGTTTTACCTTAAAAACAGAATTTAAAAATTTGTTATATCGGAAGAAGGCGTGGGTGTTCACCGATTCCGCTCATTTCCATAGTGTGCAGTAGTAACAATAAGATAACCTTACACACCAAATTTGGTTAAAATTGGTTAAGTAGTATCTGAGTTATGAGATTTCGCCCAAAAGTGGGTGGTGCCAGGCCTATTGTAAATTTTTTACACGGGCTCCTATAAAGCCCTTCCCTGCCATCCTGGCTGTAAAATTTTATGGTTTTGGATATTTTATTTAGTGAGTTATCGCACTTTTAGTAATTTTCAACATAACCGTTATATGGAGAGTGGCCAGGGCTATTATTTGTAAAAAGACTTCTTCGCAGCAAGTTTGGTTGAGTTAGCTTTAGTTATGTGCATCTAACCATTTTGAGGGCGAGTCCGCACCCACTTTTAAAAAATGTTAAGCCCACAACTGCCTCTTATCACTGCGATCCCCTGCACCAAATTACAGTTTTGTATCTTAATTTAGTGCTTACTTATGACACTTTATAGGATTTTGTTTAATGGAGTTTTGTGGGCCCACCTACAGTACTGACAGTCACTCGGAATTGAACTCGTCTCGTCACCCTGATCATTTATATATGTATAACTCCATATTTATCTCAATTAGTTTTAGGTGATACAAACCACCGTTAGGTGAACAAAACTATTACACTCTGTGCAACACTTTGCGAGAGTATAACTAGGCGTGGTTATATACTGATTTCGTTATCGTTTTTACCACAGTGTCTCTAAGGAACTGAGACGCACTTGGAATTTTCGAAATTTTGATTTAGCATTTGTGTTTTACAGACGGACGGTGGGAATTGGCGTAATATCGTGCTGAAAATGCCATAACAGATCCGCAAATATACTTTTTATAAGTAAGGACGCACAAAGTTCGGGTATAACCGGAGATAGGTGTTGCCAAACTTTATATTAAGAAATATTGCGAAAGAATATATCATTCATTATTCGCCGAAACCGTTTATTACAAAATTGTTGCTTATTACTGT